ATATATACATGTGTTTTTTTAACAATGCAAATCATATAACTAGAATAGATAATAATGTAAAGCAAAAAATAAGTTTAAGCCAAAATTAGAACTAACATACATGTTTAATTCTGAAAAACTAAACTAGGCAATAAAAATTTGCACATAGGAATTAATTAATTAACTATTTAAGTTGAGGTTGGAGTCTTTCATTCCGTTATCTAGTTTTAAACAATAATTTTCAGAGGCTTTAGTCACATCTTGCACCTGTAATGTTTAATTGTCTTAAATTATGATATTTTTTAAACTTGCATTGTATTTTATGTCTTATTACTGGAAATTTTGCTGTAAATATTTTAACATTACTGTTACTGTTATTAAGACAGTTGCTGTGTATTTGTAATGGCTTGTTTGCACCTTGCATATTGCCCTGGACATCTTTGCAAAAGAGATTAATTATCTCAGTGAATTTCTTTCCTGGTAAAATAAAGGTTTAAATAATAACAAAAAACAAAAACAAACAAAAAAAAACAACATTGGTTTTACTTTCCATTTTTTCCAATCCATGTAGTAATTTTAAGTTTTCAAAGAGCAATAAATCTCAAGGACTGAAAACATTTGTTGGAAAATGTTCCACAATCCAAACTGGTGACTGATCTCATGACAGTAATTTCCTGTTCAGTGGTATGTTACCTTTAATGCTTCTTTCAAAGAAGATCAATGAAACACAGTTTGTTGGAAAAACAGCATTGTTTTTTTTTAGCCTTCAATTGGCAGCGTACTCTAACCTTAATGCTTCTAGATGATTATTAGTAATCATCTCTCTTCTGTAAGTTGTTTATATCTCACTGACCAATGCTCTCCGTCACATTTCTTCCCTTTGAGATACAAGGAAAGGCATCTCCACTGACATTAGAGTTGCTGCAGGGCCTATGAGTGATCCACACTTTGAAGAGAAACATGAAATAAACATCAGATGTGGATGAGACAGACAGAGTGAGCTCGACTTAGTATCCCTCTCCTTTGACAAAGGGAGTTAAATGAAGCTGTCTGCAGTCTGCAAAGACCACTCAAATGGAACTGGGCTGTCCACAAAAGGACGATCACAGAGACAGAGATTAAAGTGGGGAAACAGACATATAAGGCCTTAAAATGTAATTGTATGCGGGATGTATTGGCCTGGTGGGAAAAGCTGAAGACCAATTTGCTGTTTAAACAGCCATCAAATTACTTCTCTACTGGGGTGACAGCTAGTGCATAAAATGAGCTTCAGAGAAGTGGAGCAAGAGAGACAAAAAGGCTCCAAAGCTGGTGGTGCAGATAAGATCAAACACAATCAAATAGAATCTTGAAGTTTGGGTAAAACATAATTCACAACATATCTAAAATATTTCCATCTGATTAAATTATGCTGCTAGATTTGATTTTTCCTATCTGGTTACTATTCTATTTCCGTTCCAATTTTTGGTTCGCTACTCCCCGTGCAATTTTAGAAAAAACAAAAATAGACATCAACACGTGCAGCTCTGTAGGGAATCGCATGCTGTTAAATCTACAACCAGAACATCATACAGCATAGACAAAATTAGTAAAACAAACAAAAATAAATTATTATATTCATAATTTCATCATAGACAAAAATGGCATTTAGGCTAAACAGAGTGAGAAAGCCCAGCCAAGTAAAGATGAACTTTATAAGGCCAGACAGGACTTCAAAATTGTTAACCATTTTTACACAATTATAGATTAGGTTTAAGAAATTTTTTTCTTAAACCCTCACGCTGGAGTGACTACGTCTCTCAGTTGGCCTGGGAACACCTTGGAGTCCTCCCAGAAGAGCTGGAAGAGGTGGTTGTGGAGAGATATGTCCGGACCTCCCTGCTCAAGCTGCTGCTCCCGTGACTCGACTTTGGAACAAGTGGAAGATAATGGATGGATGAATGGATGGCATTACTCATACAGTATCTGTTGATTTTATGGTTTTTATGGTTGTATGTGTTCGTGTGCAGCACTTTTTTCATTCAACCTTTATTTAGACAGGTAAATCCCATTGACAACAGCGACAGCAATAGACAGTTATACAAATTTAAAAAGGCATACATAATTTTTATTTTTTTAACAAATAGGATGGCTAAAAAAAGAAAAGTAACAATTTTGTATTTTGTAATTTTGAAAAGTACCAACTTTGCCAACGGTGTTGTTTTTAGTGCTTTATAAATAAAGTTGTTTTGTATTGTATAGTATGTCCCTTTGACATATATAGTTCATGTATATTTTCAGTGCAACTATTGATTTTGTAGAGTGACTGTTTAAAATTTACTTTATGTTCCTGTCTGCTTCTTTTAATAGTGCTCAGGGAGTGAGAGACACAGGGATATGGTTTCTGACGTAACATCAATGAGCCACTGACAGCAGAATGAACTTTTCTTTTGATTTGGGTTCTCCATTTATTTTTGTTATTATTTTTTTTTAGAGTTGAAACATCAAATTTATTTATTGCAAAAAAGTTCCAAATTACTATTAGGTTTTACAGAAGAAAGTTGATGCATTTTGAATTTTTGATTTGAAGCTGCATTGGCATTTTTCAAAATTTGTCAAATGTTTCGTATATTTGATTATACTTTGTAGTTTAGCTTCAAAAGAAAGAAAATAAATTAACAAGCAATATCTGATGCAGCCCGGCAGTGAGAAACAGAATGTTTATTGAAATTACAAAACTTATTTTAAAGATTAAAATGCAGAAAAGCGATTGCAATGGGAAATGTCTATAAGTTCTTACCCCTCCTGAAGACCTGGATGGTGGCCTGGCGACGGCCGTTACTATTTTCCACATGGCACGAATAATTTCCCAAGTCCTCCTCCTCCAAAGAGTCAATCGTCAAGGAAATCGCCACTTCTTGTTCACCAAGATGCTCCTTGACAAGCCTGTAAAACAAACAAAACTCAACAATGTTTGCTTTAATGTAGTTTTTCTGAAAAAAATGGTAATTGGCTTCCAGTGACTTGCACCACTGCAGGTACTGGTGGATCATACAGAGTGTATTAGTTTGGACTGTTACAAAATTAGTAGTAACTCAAAATGCCTAAAAACAATGTCTCTGTTCTACATTAACATTTTTTATGAAGTCCTCATTTCTCTCTCTGCACTCAAAACATATGAGCAATGAAAATCAATAAAAGGATCTTCCTCAGCTTCTGCATGTGTATGTGAGGAGCGGGGGATCAAATAATGGCTATGAGAAGAAAATCTTTTTATAGCGGCTGCCATGGTAACGGCAAGATGGAGAGAAAGTAATATTCCATAAAGTAAATGAGTGTCCCCCCCGCTGGGCTGGTTGAGCCTGATAGAGTAGAGAACAGGGAAAGGATGTTCCTTCATACCTCCGACTCACTACTTAGCCTACTTTTACAGCACCCTCAGCACAAACGATGCCATGAAAGAAACAAAGCGCCAATGAGGAAAAGATCTCCGCAGCGTTTTTGTGTGAGTGTATCATTTGCTGCGATGAGAAGCGGGTGTGGGATGAGGGCAGAGTGTTTGCTTGAGTGTGTAGGGGGATAATGACTCTCAAGCAACTCACTTCTCTCGCCTTCAAGTCGATAAACTGCACGTAAGGATGGCTCATTGGAGAGATTTGGCATCAGTAATTGAAAGTGTATCACAGCAGTGCTGTTGATACTGAAGTTGTTGTGCAGCGGGACGGGCGCTGGGAAATGAGAATAATTCATGTCTCTCCGGGGAGCGATGCGTACTTTGAAGCCTCTCATTTCCCATAATCACATGATGCGAGCCCAAACAGCTTGCTGCCCTAGAAAACTTGGAGGAAAATGACCACCTGAGCCTCAAAGAGGTATAGTGATAAACTTGTTGTCAGTCTATAACTACTGCAGGCACGTTTCTCTGTGTCATGGGGACAATAAAGTTAATTATTTTTCAATTCCAAGGTTCTACATACAGTATAAGGTAAATTAATGATCTGGTCTTTATCAGGTTTGAAAATGATTCACATCCAACCTGAGGTGGACAAAAATACTCAACAGATTCTGCTGTGTCATTATTTGTTAAACAAAAACAAATTGAATAAGTATAATGGTCCCTCGCTACTTCGTGGTTCGTTTATCGCGGATTCGCTCTGTCGCGGTTTTTCAAAATAAGACTGGACATGACACACAATTGGCTGATTGATGGATGAGCCGCAGGATCGGCATGGAATTTTCATTTAAAATTAATTATTTTAAATTATTTAGCACCTGCTGCACCTTTGTGCAGCCCTTACTGCAGGATACATTTCCTCCTGCAGCTGAACAGCTGATCACCTGATCTGCGTGCAGAGCGGAGAAGTGGGCGTGGTCAAGAGTGTTTGCAGGTGGCTGAGAGCAGTGAAGGCAGAGAGAGGGAAATCATGACATTCTGTGCTCTTTTAGATCGTTTATAGTTTAGAAACATTGTTTAGAGAATTGCAAGAGTGTGGGAAGAGTTTAAAACACCTTAATATTGCTATACATAAATACTAAAATAAACTACTACTTACTACTTGTACTACTTGTACTACTTGTACTACTAGTCCTACGTCGCGGTTTATCACTTATCGTGGGTCTTCAGGATACGGATCCCCCGTGATAAATGAGGGACTACTGCACACCCATGATTTAACAGCTTGTAGAGTCCCATGAAGCAGCAATAAGTTGAAGTAGAGGTTTTTGCAGGACTTCATCAGTCTTACATGATTGTGGTAGAATTGTGGCACACAGTTTCTCCCAGCTGTGCTTCCGTTCATTGCAGTTTGCAGACTTTGTTTCTGCACTTCTCTCTCAAAGTCTAATTCCCATCACAGCATTTAAATTAGGTTTAGGTAAAGACTTGGACTGAACCATTGCAGCATCTAGATTTATTTTAATTTAAAAGTCATTTGCTGTTTAGAATTGTTGACCCATTGCATGATTCAGTTCTCAGACAGATAGTCCCTAAATCCATTTGATCTTTACGCGCTTTTTATTTTCAGGTCACGGGGTGCCCATGTCCAGCAGTCACTGTGAGAGAAGCGGGGACACCCCGGACAGGTCTCATCACAGGGACACATAGAGACAAACAACCTTTCTCTCTCTCTCACACACTTATGGACAATTTAGAGTTACTAATCAGTCTAACATGCTTGTTTTTGGTCTGTGGGAGGAAACCAGAGTACAAAACCCATGCATGCACGGAGAGAACATGCAAACTCCTTCCAGAAAGGCCCCAGCCGAGATTTACACAGATCGGCTCACAATCAGTTCTAAAACATTTTGGTTTTCAGAGGAGTTCATGGTCGACTCGTTGAGTGAGAAGAGTCCAGATCCTGTGGCTGCAAAACAAACCCAAACCATCACCCCTTCACAGTTGGTGTTTGTGCTGATTTGCTATTTGATTTGACCAAACGTTGCTCTGTGTTCTATCAAACATCTCTATTATGGTCTTATTATGCAAAAGACATTTTTACAGAAGTCTTGTGGGTCATTAAACGCAACATCTCAAACCTATCATTCTGCCTTATCCTTGTAAGAGAAACAAGACTTTCTTCTGGCAACCCGTCCAAGTAAACTATACCTTTTTTTTTAATGGACCGTCATAAACTTTAACTTTCTTCTAGACAGAGAGTCTGAGAAGGACCTCTTGTTGTTTGCTGGCAATTTCTATGAAGATGGCACAATCTTGTCTTGGGTGAATTTGCTGTGAATTTCACTAATGGACAGACTGTCTTAAATATATTCCACTTGTGAATAATCTGACTCACAGTAAAATGCTGTCATTGATATAGTTTGAAAATAACTTTTTAAGTACCTAGATTTTAAGACGGCAACTTTAGCTTCATTAAAATCAATGCTGAAAATGTTTCACCTGAGCACTGGGTCAGTAAAGAGCTGTATCCTCCAGACCCACAAACCACCAAAACTTTGGCTTTTATAGAGGCGGTCACGCCTGTCAATAATCAGTTAATCAAGTGCATTTGATCAGATACACCAAGCTGCTACTTTTCCTCTGAAAAGTTCATGCTCAATAATCCAGGTAAAAAAAATCCAACAAAGTCAAGTCCGGTCCTCTGGACATTTTCTTATTTTTTTGTTGAAACGTTTAGTCTTTCATCCAAAAGACTTCATCAGTCCGAGAAGCCACAACAAACTCAGTCCGACAAGAAGCATACTCACATAGTGGGCCAACCAGTTTGCTGGTGGTAAGATGGTTTCTGGGACCTGCCCTCTCCCCCATCGACTCCTCTGAGGCAGCCATAATCAAAGTGGTTCAAAACATCCAAGTTCATGCTCAGAAATAATCTTATCACCAGAAAGCTGGTTGTTCCACTATGTGAGTATGCTACTTGTTGGACCGAGTTTGTTGTGGCTCCTCAGACTGATGAAGTCCTTTGGATGAGGATGAAACATCTCAACAAGAAAAAAAGAAACCATCCAGATGACCTGACTGAACGTGGTTGGATTTTTTTAACCTGGATTGTTGAGCATGAACTTTGATGTTTTGAACCACTTTGGCTGTGGCTGCCTCAGAGGAGTCGACGGGGGAGAGGGCGGACTCCAGAAACCATCTTATTAACAGCAAACTGGTTGGCCTACTATGTGAGTATGCTTCTTGTCGGACTGAGTTTGTTGTGGCTCCTTGGACTGATGAAGTCCTTGGGATGAAGGATGAAACATCAAAAAAAAAAAGAGAAAAGAAAAGAAACCGTCCAGATGACCTGACTGAACTTTGTTGGATTTCCCTCTGAAATCTTGTGGAAGCATTAAGGGTGGACATGGTTTTTCACACAAACATCTTTTCCACTTTTGCTTTGTTTTTGTTTCATAAATTATATATTTAGTCGTGTGTTTTGTACATTTCAAGTTAGATTTGAATAATTTAAGGACCTGGTAAAACCCTAGAATTGAAAGAATGTTCTTCCATGACTGTATTTTCAGCGTACATCACTGGCAAAACCTCTGCGTTTGCTCATTTACTGATCAATTTATTCTATCCTTTCACACCTCAACGTACACTTGCAAAACACCAAGTGAACTGGGTCAATAACATATCGATCACCTACTTCATTATGCTGAGCCCAGATTTGTTTTGCTAATTTATTAATCTCTGCATGCTACGCTAATGTCCAGCCATCCATGCAGGGATAGCGAAGGCAGCCTTGTCCCGGTGGCACAAATGAGAATTTATGGGCTCAGGTTACCATAGAAATGAACTCCTCCAAAATCAATATGGGCTCAGAGTTGGATAAATAAATGCCTGCAGAAACTCAGAGCTGAAGGTATGACTGCTCCTCTCTCTGAGCTCAACTTTTGCTTTTGACACATTAGCAATAAAGCTCTAAACATGCGTGGGCGATAGTGAAAGTTAACTCTCACAAACACGCAGGGTTTAATAATAAAGAGAGTTATTGAACAAAAAAAAAAGAAGTACAGATTAGTTTGTGTCCTATTCTTTATTTTTTGTTGTCCTTTTAATTTGCCGTATCTCCGGCTGTGTTCATGGAAGCTAAAACAAAGCAGGGTGTCAGAAAAGCCTTGGGTATCAGCAGCTACAACGGAGGCTGAATGATCGAATATATTATTGATCTGCTGCATGAAGTATGGATATGAATTATTGAAGAGATCAGCCCTCACCCTTTAAGCGAGGATGGAATCCTGTTGTCAGAGGAAGAGAGAAAGCAAACGGGCTGTTTAAACTGACATTTGTTTCTGTTGCATGTTTATATCAGTGCACGGGAAAACTCATTATCACAGATGTGTTTTACATACTTCACTCCTTGGTGACTTGTAATGTATTTCTTTCCTCTTTTTTTTCTCCCTGCCTTTCTCCTCCTCCACAAATGCTTATGGCCCATCTGCATGCTGCTATAGGTGGATGCAGAGCGAGAGCAATCGTGCTGGTGGTGTAAAAAATGGCAGTTGTTAACAATCTGACAGGGCTGTCTCCACAGAGCTGCATCCTCTACAACCAGCCCTAATGGGAGATGTGCACATGGACCAGGGTGTGCACATTTAACTATCTTACAGCACTAGGAGGGTCAGGCATGCTTGTTTTAAATGACTGAATGTGACATTTATTGGGGGGGGAAATGTTACAGACATTTAAAATAAAACCAAATGACTTTTTTTTTTCTTTCCAGTGCAGTATCAGTATTATCTTTGGAGCTGCAGGACACTGCAGGTAAGAAGGTGAGGGTAAAATAGCAAACATGCATCCTGTTCTGGTGCAGATAAGCAGAAAAGTGCTTGTCATGGAGTTTGTTCTTTGTGAGGAGAAGATGAGCATTTTTACTCTTCAAAACATACAAGACCGATAAGGTTTATCTATATAACACATCTGTAAGAGCAACAAAGACGAGAGCTCCTTCCCAGCATCAGAAAGTATTCAGCATGTATCCAGACTAAAATTGATTAGTATTTTTTTCTCATTTTGATGCCATGAAGTCCTGTGTCACAGATCTGAATACAGACAATCAAATTACAGTTAACCATTACTCTCGTGACGCCATATTGATTTAGCTGTTTAATGCACTCTGAGCAAAATCAAGACTTCAGGATTATATTAACCTTTTTAAGTCATTCCCACTCGACTTTTCGTGGCCTAGTGTTTTAAGCAAGATTGTACGCTCACACAAAATAAATATATAAAAACAAACAAACAAACAAAGACAGACTGGAAGCATTCAAACAAAACCAGAGGTGTAAGACTGTCCTGCAGAGTCTCACACTGAAACACATTTTTAAATTATTTTTTTAATCTCCGGTGGATTTTGGCCTCTGATTCGTTGCATCCCAGATGCTCAACTGAATTAGCTTTAAGATATATATATATATATTTTTTAGAATTTATTGATGCTTTAAGCTTTTATTTAGCCTTTTATTTTTATTTAATTTTGACTGGAAAAACAAGATAACAGCTGTCAGAAAAACCTGATTCTGCTAGTCTAAAAAAATGTTTAGATGGATAACAGTCAACATACACAACATCCACGTTTACACTTAAAACTAAATCTTCCCTGGAGATTTCTTAAATATATGGGCAAGTGCATTCCCAGTGGCTGTGCCATCTCTTATTGTCCAGCTTGATACTAATGTACAGTTTTTCAGTGATAAAGATGTGTGTCAGTGCACAACCGGTCATGATTATGTTCACATCAGTTACATGTTAATGCATGTAGCAGTACAGCAGAAAGAGCAGCACACCATTTCAAAGTGGTGATCTGGATCGGATCCAGCAGCACCATATGGCTGAAACAAACTGAACAAGACTGTTTCGGTGCTGAGACCAAAATGGCGTCTGTTGTCATGCACTGATGCACCAAAATAAGAACGAACCCAGTAAATGTTAAAGCGGCATCCCTTACAGAAGAACCACATGAATCCACTGTTTGCACTGGTAGAAAGCCATGTGACCACATGCACATGTTAGAAATGTTCCATGTCACAAGGGGACCATGTGCATAACACATGTGAAAACAATTTAATTTGCACATGTTTTTGTCCCCCATGGAGCGAAGAGGGAAAATTGGAAATACTCTCTGTGAACCGTGCAGATGTCCATGTTGTGCACATAATTTGTTAACTAAATGAATTACTGACTTCTATTTAGGCGTGTGGGTACAGACGGTCACTATAATTGGGTTGCCACATCAAAATCCAAGATGGCTGCCACCATAAATATCTGTCTATGGTGTGAGCATGAAAACTTAAAAAAACAAGATGAGGTACCAACTTTTATTTAGGCGTGCCGGTATATCTAGTTGTGAAAAAGTTTATTATCTACAATCAGAACCCAAGAAAGCTACCACCATTTATACATAAACCTGCCACCCCATCATTTGAGGAAACTATACTTTCTAGGTTTTATTTTAGTTTTCTCAAATGATTGGGGTGTCCCTTGGGGTGGCCAAAGGTTAATTCATGGTGGCCAAGGCCACCACTAGCCATCCCCTGGCTCTGCCATTGCGCCTGGTCGTCCTCTCACCAGGATCTGTTATTGTGTGCTGCCTCAGACAATCAATAAATCAATTAAAAAAAATAAAACTACCTCTATTCCTATACACCAGGGCTATTCAACTGGTGGCCTGGGGGCCAAATCAGGCTGAACTATGAACTCAGTTCGGCCCACAATGGGTTAATTTTGAAATGAAACTAGATTTTAAACCATAAAACAATAATGACAATAACAGCTGGATGTCCAGCCTCTGAGCTCTTGGCTGCAGTAACTGTGCCCCCTGAGCAGTTTAGTTGAATAGCCCTGATATACATTGACACCACTTGAATATCTTGCACCAAAAACTAAAATGTTTATTTGCATTCCCTGTTCAAATCCAGTTCAGAAAAACATATATCTAAAAAAACTACGAACATTCACTATCAAATCCCTCAACGATGGGGGATGTTGGCGTACCACTTAACGCATGTAGTTTTTAATATGTGACGTTCATTTGGTTTTTCTGTAGGGGGCGTTAGCTTCATCAGTTCCATGAAAGTTATTGACACTACACTACGACAGTGGTTTAACAAAGCATAGCATCTTATGAAACGGTTACAGCTCAATACATAAAACAAACAAAAACAAACCATCACAGAGCACATGGAGGCAATGAAGACATGAGAGGAGGAGACACATCGAGCAAATGACTCAACAAAGTCTGTCTGTGTTGATCAGGAGGTGCATTTTATACGACAGGCTGACGATAAAACTTCTGAAAATCACTGATATTACACACTGCTTGTGTTTTTAAAACCCTCAGACAGAAGATTTAAAGTCAGCTTTAGTAGGTGTCACCCTAATGTGCAGACTCCGAAGCAGTTACATGCTTAAACTGCTTCTGTGTTCATTAAAACCCTTTTCTTCTGTGGTTAGACTTTAATCAAGGTTTCAAAGGAAAACATAACAGAATAGATTTTCACCTGCATTCAATTTAGCAATGTTTACGCCACGGTTTATGTTTCAGGGCTTTTGTGGCAGTAGGTCACACTATCATTGTGCTCATTTAGTCAGAGAAATTTGAGATTAAAAGTCCTTGCGCTAATAAATTTTGCTGCCTGTAAGCAAAATCAATGCTCACTTTTTTTTAAAGCTTTACCTGCAGGATGACTGATGGATGTGACTCTGTTGTTTATGCACCTTTTTCTGCCTGACTGCATTCAAAGGAAGGAATTATAACTCAAATAAAAGTGACAAAATAAATGACTCATAACGCAAAAGAAGTTTCAGGTCCCTGCGTGATGCTTGTTTTGTTGAGAAAGTGAAAATCTCTTTAAAGGACTTTGTTTAGTTGATGCAGAGTTAATGAACTAAGACATGCAAAGCCATTGATATCGTCATTTAATACTTTGCTGTGAATTAATCCAATGCTGCCATTAATTCCTCATTACTGCTGCATTCATTGAAATGGCTCGGACCTAAGCTGTGCGCGCTTCTTACTTGATGTCGCTCTCCTGGATTCGCTCTTCATCCAAGTCCTCGATGAACTTTTCCCCCTTCATCCAGTAGATGTGTGGGCTGACGTCGCCGCTGTAGCCGAAAAACGCTCGGCAAGTCAGGTTTAAAGGACTTCCTGCAAAACGAACAAAACAAATAGAATAATAGAAAAGAGAAGATGTGCTGTCATATTTGATAACCCTGCTGTCTTGTTAAAAGTACACGTTTCTGCACAGCGTGAAAACAAAACATTGTTCCAGCACCGTGAAAGTCAGCAACTTCAACATGGAAGCTTCTTGATATTTTCCTGGTGACAAGTGTTGACACATACACACCTGCTCTCCATCATTTGGACCTCGTAAACACACACAGAAAGACACATTCAAATTCATACAGACACAGGCACAAAAGTTTTCTGAACGTTCCCACGTTTCAACTAACTTTTGGTGGAGACAAGCAATTTTATAAATTGCTGATTTGGTAAATAACACTTCTGCTCACATAAAAGTGAGGAAGTCGTAACGAACACATGGGGGCACTAAAGTGCTTCCTGAAATCTCCCCCCCAGAAAGACCTTCTCATGGGAGAAAATATGGGAAAAGGGATTTGAGAGGAGACAGACGATAACATTATTTTATGTGGCGCTGCTGCCGGGTTTGAGGGAAGGTCAGGAGTCAACGACTTCAGTTTGCTGAGGGTTGATCTGTGGAAGGAGGAGTAATTGTCTCTGGGGAGGGCATTTTTGCTCTGTAAATAAATGGTTAAAGAAAGAGGCAGAAAAAGGTGACATTTCAGTGCCAATTAAAAATAAATAGTCTTACGTTCATATTAATTTTAGCACGGCTATTGTGTTATAAGTGCAGTGATTTAGACAAAAAGTGATCAATTAGACCCCAAACCTTACAAGTACTGAATAAAGTTGACACAAACAGACCTCTTTACACCACTCACGCTACACCCACAGTGGCCTTAGTATTTAAAACAGACCAATGTCAACTCACCATTCATGTGCTATTTTGCGTGACAGCCTGAATAAAGGCCTTGGGGCAGTAATCACATGCTGCTCAGTGCACCACACAGCGACATGTAAACAACAGGAAGGCTCATAATGCAGCACAAACTGTAAACCCTTTGATGAAAAACTCCCCTCTGGGGAAGAGTCAAGGATGGGAATTGCTTTGAGGTGTGTAATAAGGGACGGCATTCATGGGATGGGGAGTTACTTATTTTCTTTATTTGCTGCAGGATTTATGAGCAGTGGTGTAAGTTAAACTGTCATTAGCACCACGGACAGTTCCTGCCACTCCTAAACAGCCATGTTTAATTCAAACTCACTCTGATGCCGTCGCTAAATGTTCAAATATTTATTACGTATGTGATCCGTTGTGTTACATTATAAAAAGGAGGCTTGAAGCCACTGTCCGCTGCTGCCAGCAGCACACTTGCCATGCTCAGGCTGAAGGTCGCAGGGTTTGGGAGCAACGGCGCTGAGGTGAAGTTTAAAGAGACTGCTCGTGTTTGAACCAAAATCTTGTATCCTCTGAGCTACTCCCGTCTACAAGCAGGAGACGCCTTCCAAAAGATTTCAGCAGGTCACTTTGCAGCACAGGTGAAGTTTTAAGGGAAGTGGAATGGGAGGCCACTCAGCAATGAACTGATAGTACTCTGTGTGAGGAGCAGCGGCTGACATTTACAAAGTTCAACAGCCACTCTCAGTTTGGTATTTGTGCACAGCGGCCTCGACAAAGGCTACACGCTGCACCTACAAAGCAGGAACCTCCTGCTTGTGATTACATGTGAGAGAGCACAAAAGAACTCGTTTTAACAATCAGACTGTATGATTTGTAAATCAAGCACTGTAATCATGTAAAAAAATGCATTTATTCTAAGTGTTTATATTTGTTTCTGTCAGGCGCATTGTTTAGTTTGTCTCTTTTTTAATCTGCCTCATGCATTTAGTTTATCCTTTAGATCAATTGTAAATTAGGAATGTCACGCTGCCAGCAGCCACTGCCTGCAGAGGAAGTCTCCACTGAGCTGCCTGGGAATCACAGGAAACAGTTGAAGGCTTCCTGCTGTTTTATTTTAATCCAAATGCAGCTCTCTCTAAAAACGCTCTCACATCTACCAGGGGAGGATGATGCACATCATCATCACCACGACTTACATTCTGAGAGCTGGACACTCTGTTCAGAGATGGTTCCCCATTCATTACCATAAATGACTTACCAATTATTTCCAAATTGGTCCATGCTACATGAATTAAACATACTTTTTTCTCCATTTGCAGCTCTGCTCCTATAACTTTCCATTGCACAGACTAAAAATAACAACCTGGACATTTGCAAACACATTTTTGTTCTTACGGTGTTAAATCCACTAGGGCTCAAGTGACAGTTTAAATATAAAAAAACTTTTAGAGAATTTAGTTTACAAGGCAGAGAGAGATGCAGGAATATTAGCCAGACCAAGGAAGAAGACACAGTTTCCTCTAAGCCCAGCGTAGCTTAGTTATAAAAGCAAAGAAAAGAAAATACAAGTTGAGTTGGATGGTAATGACACACCCAATGAACAGATAAACAATAAAGGGAATAATTTACTCATTATCAAGATCAAAGAAATATATATTTGTCTTGTCATAGTTATCATGATTGATCAATATTCTCAAAGCAGTTTGTAACCTACAGTAACAAAAACAGTGTCTGCATTAACGTTGTCATTTTAAATATTTTGACCATCTGTGTTACACAAAATGTATGGTCATGTGACAAGAACACATCTTTACATTCAGAAAAAGACTGATGTTTCAAAGAAAAACTCACAGAACTTAAACTATGGCACTGGGATTTAGGCAATCTGCTTATTTAAATAAACGTTTTACAATTTAAAACAAACAAACAAACAAACAAACAAACAAACAAACAAACAAACAAACAAACAAACAAAAACTAATTCAAATTAGAGTAATTGCATTTCTTGTGAAAATGCAGTGTGACTGCTTATTGGTGAAGAGCTTGATGAAAAACAGTTGAAATTAGCTAAAAAGACACTTTAGCAGAAGAAAGCAGAAATAACACATATTTGCTGAATTAGGTTTAAATAAGCAGAAATTAGCACACATTTTAGGAAATTTGCTTAAAAAAAGCTTACATTAGAAAGAAAATAGCTGAAAAGTAGCTGAAATGGCAGAAAGAAGACTTAAAGTACCTGAAAGAAGTGGAAAGATCTGGAAGGAGCTCATAAAATATGGAATTATTGATTGATTGATTTTTATTGTCAATTCTGCATATGTACAGGACATACATAGAAATTGAAATTGCGTTACACTCCTCAAATTGCAGCAAACAACAACATTAGCAAAAATAAACTAACACAACTAGTTATATAAAAAAATATGAAAAAAAATATAAAAGTGAACAGCAGCAGGACCTCTGATGCAACGTGCTCAATAGTGACTAACAGGAGACAAAGGGACGCTGACTGAAGACAATAACATGATGGACATGAATTATATGAAAATGCTAAACTTTGCATAAAACAACTAAATGGTAATTGAAGTTACAGAAAAAGCTGAAATAAGCTGAAAGGAGCATGACTAGCAAGTAGCAGAAATTACCATGAAAAACTTGAATTTATCTGATATCAGCTGAAATTAGCTAAAAATGCTAAAAAGGTAGCTGCAAAGATAGAAGAAGTTTAAATTAGCAGAAGATAGCATGTTTGCCCAGTTAGCTTGAACAAACAGAAATAAGCATAAAAAGTGGTAATATCTGAAAATCTCTGAAATTAACAGCAACAAGAAAAAACAACTGAAAAGTAGCTAAAAAAGCAGAAAGAAGCTTAAATGACCTTAATTAAATTAAAAGAGGTGAGAGCATATTTATGTTGATTAAAGCTGAAAAAAGTTTAAATGAGTGCAAAAAATGTGGACTTTCAGTAGATGAAAAAACTAAAATTAGCATAAAACAGCTAAATAGTAGCTGAAATAGCAGAAAAAGCTCAAACTTGCATAAATAAGCTAAAAGGATCACAAAAAACTGAAATTAGCAGAAATAAGTTAGAAGAAGCACAACATTGTTGTAGTTTGCAGAAAAAAGCTGAAAGGAGCACAAAACAGCTAAAAACAATAGCTGAATTTAGCTGAAAGTAGCTGAAAAAAAATTAGATTTGCACAAGGAAGCTGAAAGAAGCTGAAGCAGAACAAAATATGAAAGGAGCAGTAAAAGGTTGTAAACAGATCTAATGATATGAAGAATGTAAAATGAGCTCAGTTCATTTTCTATGAGGAAAAATGCCAGAAAATACTAAAAATTTCCAAAAGCTAAAGTTGTACCAATATCAAAAGTCCCTGAAACAGCTCAATGTTTTGATTTATGATTTATTGAAATAGCTTGAAAACTGTGGGATGAGAATTGTGCCAAAATATGTACGGAAGAAAAATGAATCACAATAGTGTGAACGCTTCATAAACATTCACACAATTAGTATTTGTTGAAGGGATGCACATCACCACCCGCCTTGCCTGCAAATGTTTAAAATAAATAATCTAACACTCAGATTACATGTTGGGAATGCCTCTCAGCTACTACCACACCAAATGAACTCAATATATTTGTAAAACAGACTAAGTTAAAGTTGTTTTGTTATGCTTGCTAAGGTTGGTTAGCTGCGGCAGCCATCTTGATTTAGGTTGACCAACAATTAAACAGTAGTAGATGTACACTCAGTGTTTATTTTCTGCAAGAAAATTTAAAATCTCTTTAGAAGTTGATAGGATATTTTGCTAACATCACAAACAAACACAAACATGAGCATTAACAAAGGCATTTACAGTAATTCCTGTAGTACTTGTAACAGCAGTGGGTGATAACAACAACGATCACAGCAATACTTATAAGCTCAAAGTGAAATCTTTAAATTGACTAAAACATTTGAAAAATCCCTTCTCCCTTATCAAATGCTCAACAACCGTTAAAACATTATTACCAGCTGCTAATTTAAAACAAACATGATTGCCTTGATCATTCTCTAATCACCTCCTGCAACAAATGGAAAACTTGTAAGCAAAACTGCTAATTAGAAAATGTTAAAAATTGTAAACATGTTCTTTTTATTTTCAAGTTAAATGTTGAGATAAATC